GAGAGGAATAGTCTTCTCTCTATTAAAAGATATTGCGGCGGAGAAAGAAGGTGAAAGAAGCGGAGAAGGGGGGGGGGGCGACATGTACATACTCACACAAAACACGACTGTCAATGGTTATATAGTTATAGAAACCGAGTTTGTCGACTTTAAAGGTTTATAGTCGTATCCGCAAAATCAAAAAGAGTCGTAAACTCTTTTATATGCTGTTGGGTGTAATCCCGAGTATCATATATCATTTCTTTTTACTTCCACCCAATGCTTTTCATTCCACAAGGCATAAAAATTTTGTTGTCTCTTGTACGGTAAACATAAATTACTGGAAATTATTTGTATACTTTAAATGTGGGAGTGAGTTAACCTAAAAAAATATGTTCTTGTCGATATAATTGGATAAAGGTATCAGCACAATTGCTTCGGGAACGAATGGCGTGAGTTAGAAAAGGACAGATGGATGTTTGTGTTTTTTTCTATCTCCATACGTTTTCGTTTGCATATGAGACTTTTAACCTTTTAAAATCGCATCGACTGTGGGACCCCCTTAAGGTTATGTTTAGTTGACAATCTCTAAAGGCCGAATTTTTTCGGTTCTTTTTTTTCTTATAGATTTACTTAGAAAGAAAGTTTAAAATATAAATAAAGAGGAAATATTCGTAAATTTCAAATATTTACTGTAAAATGTACTGTAAAAAAATCTTGTTCCAAAGGACTTTCGAGCGTCAGTTGCTCTTTAGCATTTGTCAGAAAGAAACTAAAGGTTGTGTCTACAATGGACCTTCGAATACATTAACGAATCTAATGCGCAGACTCGAGATATCGAATCGTCGATATCGATATCGATATATTTCTCGAGTCTGCGCGTTGGGTTCGTTAATGTATTTGGAGGTTATGTTGAAACAAGGAAAGAAAAGGACGCAAACAGCTTCTGTCTTTTTCTTTTGCATGTGGTTTTTGCTTTCTGCCCTTAATGTTGATTTAAGGCCAACGCAGAATAGATCTGTAACCGGAACCGCAATCGTAAGCGTAACCGTAAGAATGAGTTAGAGAAGGATAGGTATATTGTTTATCCTTCTCTAACTCATTCTTACGCTTACGGTTACGATTGCGGTTCCGGTTACAGATCTATTCTGCGTTGGCCTTTAGATTCAATTTCTAGTTTTAAGAGTCGTTACAAGTTTTATATTTTGTATTTGGAGGTTATGTTAAAACAATGTTATGTTGAAATGTTTTTAAAATAAAAATATCAACAATAAGACTGCGGGAACAAAGACGATAATAGTTATAACCTGCAATTTCCATCAACTTTATAGAAATATGAGTGTGTGTGTGTGTGTGTGAATGTGAAAATTAATATTATATATGAATTTTCAGTGAGATGAGAAATTTATATCGTACAGCCCTGACCTCCCTCTATTTTCTCTCGACCTCCCACTCTGATATGGAATTGCAAACCGCCTCCTCCTCCTCCCTCTCACCCCAAACCCCCCCCCCCCCAAGTGTCTGGTATTGATTCCCTTGGAAAAGCGCGAGCCCTCTTCCCTGATCTCCAGCAGTCAGGAGCAAAGCACGTCCGAAGCTAGCAGCTCCTCGTACTTCGGAAAAAATTACCTGCTCGGTCCTTCAAAACAAACAAACAAACCAAAAAAAATTAAATTAATACTTCCCCTTTGGCAAAAAAAAAAATAATAATCTCTAAACACTTTCCTCGGGAGATAAAAGAAAAAAATCAAAATTTGTATTTTTTGACAAGTGAGATTTTTTAATTCCCCCAAAAAAAAGAAATGGTCAGTGATAAACACCTTATTGATGATTAAACTGCCAGGAAATGTTAAGCGTCCCCGTCTTGAGGCAAACTTGAAAAATTGTTTCTTGTAAATAGTGACAATGTAGTTTTTAATCAAAAAAAAAAAAAAAGAAGAAGAAGAAAGAAAAAGGAAAGCAAAAAGTAGGAAAAAGAAGAAGAAGAAGAAGAAAAAGAATAGTAAAAGAAGAACGAAGAAGAAAGGAAGAAAAAATAACGAGGGACCTGAAATATAATGAAGATTCCAAAAGTAAACATTATAAGAATTTGCAAAGAAAAAATTGTTTTTAAAATCGAAAGGAAAAGTATTATTTAGATTGTGGAAAAAATTGAAATTGTTAATTAATGAATCAATTATGATTTAATAATGAATTCATAGTGAATCATTAATGAAACAATGATGAATTAATAAATGAATCAACAGTGAATTAATAATGAATTAATAATGAATCAGTAATGAATTTTTATTAATTTTTCATTAATAATGAATTAATAGTGAATCAACAATGAATCAACAGTGAATTAATAATGAATCAACAGTGAATCAACAATGAATCAATAATGAATCAACAATGAATTAATAAAGAATCAATAATGAATCAACAATGAATTAATAAAGAATCAATAGTGAATCAACAGTGAATTAATAATGAATCAACAATGAATTAATAATGAATCAGTAATTAATTAAAAATGAATCAACAATGAATCAATAGTGAATCAACAATGAATTAATAATGAATCAATAATAAATTAACAATTAAAATCAAATAATTCGCGATATTGGAAAAATTTGAATCTTCAAGAAATATTTTAGTGAAAAAAGAAAAGAAAAAAGAAATTTCCCGAATTAGGAAAAATTTGATTAATGGAAAAGTAATTTTTTTTCACGGGAAGAAAGCGGTGTAAACAACATTAAATGGTAATTTGAAGATAATGAAAGAGAATTTACATAGCGTTATAATTGAAGCTAAATATAGAGGATATTGATAAACATCAACTGGTAGTTGAAGATAATTAGAACATTATGTATATTTATTGGCGATGAAGGCAAATAAGATATAATTGAAGGTATTTACAACAAAAAAGAAAAAGAAGAAAAACAACAATCAACGTTAAAATAATTGATTTTTACAAAAAGATCTGCAATCAACGTTAAGTAATTGATATTTACAAAAGGATTAACAATCAACGTTCAAATAATTGATATTTACTTAAAGAATTGATAACTGAAGATAATGGAAGATAATTGAAGTTATTAGGAGGTATTGGAAAATAATTGAAGATATTGAAAAATAATTGAAGATATTGGAAGATAATTGAAGGTATTGAAAAATATTGAAAAATAATTGAAAAGTAATCGAAGATATTAGAAAATATTGATAAATAATTGAAGATATTGAAATATAATTGAAGATATTTAAATAAGAGAAAGTAAAGTCCCAACTGAAGATAATCAAAGAAAAGACTGGAAAAAATTGAAGATATTTAAAAAAAAAGATTTATTAGTAACGGTTCAATCATAATTGAAGATAATTGATTATTATTGAAGACTATTGAATATATTTGCTTAATAAGAAAGTAAAATTATTTGTCATGTAAATATTCAATTACTATTGAAGATAGTAAAAATATTGAAGAAATTCGAAAACAATTGAAGTTGAATTATAATTGAAGATATTCGAAAAACAGCATTGAAGTTGAGTTATAATTGAAGTAATTCGAATACAGAATTGAAGTTTAGTGCTAATTGAAGATATTCAAAAACAGAATTGAAGTTGAGTGATAATTGAAGATATTTATAGATGAAGATTATTTACTGTAAATATATATATTGAAGATATAAGTGAAGTTATTAAAGATATATATTGAAGATTATTATTAGTCTAGAGTGATATTTAAAAACAATGATATAAATTTAAATAATTTAACAGCCTTCGTAAAAAATGAAATATTATAAAAATTGAAGACAATTACTTTGAGACAGAAAGCTTATATATTATTGAAAAGCAGATACTTTTTAGTGGAAAATTTACGTAAATTTTCATAAATTTTCAAAAATATTAAAAAATATTAAAAAATATTTCAAAATATCTCTATAAAGGTGTAAAAAGCTTGATTTCAAAATATCTCTACAGATGTAAAAAAGCTTGATTTAAAAATAACTCTACAGGTGTAAAAAAGCTTAATTTCGAAATATCTCTAAAAAGCTCGATTTTAATGAAAAAACTAAAAACACTTTAAAACCGGAAATTCATTTTTAAAAAGTATTTCAAAAACTTCGTCTTCAAAAATACCTCCAAGTGGAAAATTAATCAAGTTAAAATTTTGGAATTGAAAACATTTTCGAAAAATTGAAACTCAAAAGCAAAAAACTTCTTGGATTTCAATTTTCAGTGAAGAAAGAACACTTGAAAAAAAACTACGTGAATTTTTGAATTAAAATTAAAAAAAAAATTCCGTGAAATAAATTTAAAAAATAAATATATTCTCGCAGAGAGTAAAAAATAGTTATAAGGGCAAAAAAAAAAAAATAATAAAGTGATATATAAAGAAAAAAAGTTATTTTTCTATGGAATGTCAATTTCTGCTATTACACACTATTCTTTATATATTGAAAAAACTAAGTGAGAGAGGCGCAATTTTTCTGAAAAAAAAATTGTCGCAGTGAATTTTAAAACAATTTTCGACGAAAAAAAGAGTGAATAGAAAAAAAAGTGATAGAAAAAAAATTGTTTGAATGAAATAAGTAATTAATTAAATTAGTTGGTGAAATATAGAAGAAAGTCTGAAAATAAAGGAATTGAGGAATTTTTTCTTTTTTTAAAGAAGAGGAATTGATAGTTACGTCCCTTTTTCTAGTCTAATAGGAATAGGAATTTCCATAGAAAATTTTCCACTAAAGATTTTCCACAGAAGAAACGCTATTTAAAATATTTCCAAAAGACTTTGCAGCTTTTAGAATTTTTGCTTCGGATAAAAAATTTTTTTTGGTATTAGAAAAAATTTTTTCTTCATCAACTTTATAAAGATTTAAAAACGAAAAAAAAGCTTTAAAAAAATTTGAAAAAGTTAAGAAATATTAAATATCTTCGATAATTTATTAATTAATTAAAAAATTAATTAACAAATAAAAAATACGGACGTTAAAACATTGTAAATCAGGAATTTATTTATTTATTCAAAAATATAAAATAATATTCTAAAGGAGAAAAAATGTGAGAAGAAAAAAAATCGTGTGAATTGTAAAAATAACATAGACGAAGTATTTAAATAGAGAAAAAAAAGAGTATATTTAAAGAGGATTAAAAAGAAGAAAATATTTCCAAGGAGAGATTAATTTATAGAGTGGAAATTTATATTTCCTGCGGAAAAAGAAGAAAATTGCGACAAAAAAAATTTTTTAAATAAATACTTTTTTTGAAATTTAACAGAAAACGCAGCTCGAGGCGAGGAGGAAAAAATTGACAGGGCAAGAAATATTGGAAAAAGAGAATTGCAGACAGAGGAAGATATTAATTTCTGGAAACAAAAAATCATTCGTCATTTCATGATTTCTGAGAAGAGAATAATACACTTTTAAAAAGGAATTAAAAATACTTTCCAGTGGAAAACAATGAAAAATAATTAAAAATATACTTTCAAGCGAAAAAAAAAGAATTGAAAATTAAAAAAATAATTTTAAGCGAAAAAGAGAATTGAAAATTAGAAAATACCTTCAAGTGCGAAAGATAAAGAATTAAAAATTAGAAAATACCTTCAAGTGCGGAAGAAAGGATGAAAAATTAGAAAATACCTTCAAGTGCGGAAGAAAGGATGAAAAATTAGAAAATACCTTCAAGTGCGGAAAAAATTACAACTTAGAAAATACTTTCAATTGGAAGAAAAAACTTAAAAAAGACACTTTCAAGTTTAAAAAAAGAATTTGAAATTAGAAAATACTTTCAAGTGCGGGACAAAAATAGAAAAATACTTTCAAGTGCTAAAAGAAATTAAAAAATACTTTCTAGTGAAAAAAAAAATTAAAAATACTTTCTAGTAAAAAAAAAAAAATTAAAAATACTTCCAAGTGAAAAAGAATAAAAATTAGAAAATACTTTCAAGTGCCAAATACTCGAAGTAAGAGGGAAAACTATTTCGAAGCCGTAAAATAATTTGTAATGAAAATAAATTGAAATAAATGTAATACCTCCAAATGAAAAGTAATTTGAAGTAGAAATTACTTTGAAGTGAAAAGTGCTTGGAAGTGGAAATTACTTTTTGAAATGGAAATTACTTTGAAAAGGAAAAGCTCATAGTGGAAATTCCTTTGAAATGCAAAATACTTTCGAGTGAAAAATATTTTAAAGTGGAAATTACTTTGAAATAGAAATTACTTTAAAGTGGAAAATATTTTAAAGTTAAAAATACTTTCAAATAGAAAATACTTTGAAGTGGAAATTACTTTTAATTGCAAAATACTTTGAAGTGGGAAGTATTTTGAAGTGGAAATTACTTTGAAGTGCAAAATACTTTGAAGTGGAATACATTTTCAAGATAAAATTACTTTGAAGTGTAAAATACTTTGTTGAAGTGGAAATTACTTTGAAATAGAAAATACTTTGAATTTAAAATTACTTTAAAGTGGAAATTACTTTAAATTGCAAAATACTTCGAAATAGAAACAAAAATTACTTTGAAGTGGAAGTTACTTTGGAATGGAAAAACTTTAAAATGGAAAGTATTTTGAAGTGGAAATTACTTTGAGGAGCAAAATACTTATAAGTGGGGAGTACTTTGAAGTGGAAATTACTTAGAAATAGAAAATACTTTAAAATTAAAATTACTTTGAAGTGGAAATTACTTTGAATTGCAAAATACTTTGAATTAGAAACAAAAATTACTTTGAACTAGAAAATACTTTAAAGTTGAGAATACTTTGAAGTGGAAATTATTTTTAATTGCAAAATACTTTGAAGTGGAATATACTTTCAAGATAAAATTACTTTGCAAGAGAAAATACTTTGACTTGGTAATTACTTTGAAGAGGAAAAACTTTTAAGTGGAAATTACGTTGAATTGCAAAATACTTTTGAAATAGAAAATAGTTGAAAGTGGAAGTTACTTTAAATTGCAAAATACTTTGAAGTGGAAATTACTTTAAAGTGCAAAATACTTTGAAGTGGAAAATATTTTTAAGATAAAACTGCTTTGAAATAGACAATACTTTGAAGTTAAAGTTATTTTGAAGTGGAAAATACTTTGAAGTGGCAAATATTTTCAAGATTAATTGAGAAGTATTTTGAAGTGGGAATTACTTTGAAGTGAAAAATACTTTGAAGTGGGAAGTATTTTGAGGTGGAAAATACTTTTTAGTGGAAATTACTTTGAAGTGGAAAATATTAAAACATTGAAGTAAAAATTACTTTCGAATAAAAAAATAATTTGAAGTGGAAATTACTTTGGAATGGAAAATACTTTGAAGTGGGAAGTACTTTGAAGTGGGAAGTATTTTGAAGTGAAAAATATTTTCAAGATAAATTAAGAAGTATTTTGAAGTGGAAAATACTTTGAAGTGGCAAATATTTTCAAGATTAATTGAGAAGTATTTTGAAGTGGGAATTACTTTGAAGTGGAAATTACTTTGAAGTGACAATTATTTTGAAGTGGAAAGTACTTTGTAGTGGAAATTACTTTGAAGTGGAAAATATTTTAAAGTAAAAATTACTTTCGAATAAAAAATACTTTGAAGTGGAAATTACTTTGAAATTGAAAATACTTTGAAGTGGGAAGTATTTTGAAGTGGAAAGTACTTTGAAGTGGAAAATACTTTGAAGTGGAAAATATTCCTTTTTTTAAAACGACTACTAATTAATCACACCATGAACTGTAAATATTTTAATCTCTAAACTAGTATTTCAGTCTAATACAGTATTTCAAGTATCAAAAAATACTTTTTCCGTGAGTGCGGGTGTAAATACAAAAATCCGTTTGGAATTTATTTTTTAAAACCAAAATGGAGATAACTTGAAGTGGAAAATACTGAAAATTCATAAATATAGCGATGGTAAATACTAAAAAGTGTCCTTTAGACTTTTCTTGAAAATTCAGTAGCTTAAGGTGCAAAATAAAGAAGAATTTAATTAAATTAATTAAAAAATTAAAGTGAAAAAAAAGATTTCTAAAAAAAGAAAAGAATTATAGTAGTGAATAATAATGTTGTTGAAAATGAAAATCTAAAAAGTAAAAGTCCTCTTTGAATGATGGTAGAGCCGAAATGTTCGTCGAATAGTTTTTTGGATTTGGTGAATCCAATAAGCAGCTATGAGGACTTGAAGACATTGCACAAGAAGCATTGCAAGAAGTATTTTTGCCGCTGCAAACGGCACACGATTAGCGTAATTTGCATAAATGAGACGCGGAAATTGTATTGGTTTAATTGCAAGAGTGTCGAGGATAAAGTGAATAGCGGCAACAGCGGCGTCGGCGAGGGATATTACTTCAAATTGTTGCAAATAATAAATGGCGCGCTGAATACCTGGGCGCAAAAGTACATCGAGGGCTTGAGCTTTGCCAGGAAGGAAATCATGTTCAAGATTAATGGTAGTAGCAAGAAAAATATGAAGCTTCTCAAGGAGGGATTTTACTGTCATTATCATCCGCACATGTCCACTGATTCCTGCAATGCGGATTTCTTTAAGCGGGTAGTGAGTAATTTCCCATTTTTTTTTAATTTTAAATTTTTAAAAAAAACTGTTAACTTAAATATATCAAATTGCAACGAATTGATACTCAAAAATATGGATTAAAATCAATAATTGATCCTGATTTTTGACATCAATAATTTAAACCGCATCAATTTGGTAAAAATTTGATACTTTTAGGGAAACTGTGAATTTTCTCTTCAAATTTATTTGGTTTTTAATAATTATGATAAAAATTTTGATACTTTAAGGGGGTTGAAGAAATTTCATCAATTTTTCATTCATTCGAATTTATAGCAATTTTTGTTATGTATCACAATTTTTTTGCGGATGTCAAATTGAGACAAAAAACGAATCAAAAACGTTGCTTCGCAACACTTTTGATTCGTTTTTTGTCTCAATTTGATATCCGCAAAATAACTTTGTATTTCAAATAAAATTTTAGGTTTGAAAGTATTTTTGCAATTCTCTAAAATGATAAAAAAAAATATTTTTCTTACTAAAAATATTTCATAAACTAAAGCAAAAAATGCATAAAAATATTCTTCTTTCCATCTTTTTGGCTTCTGCCTATTTTTACTATAATTTTCGATCTCAGGGTTGCCGGACAAATTTTTGCTTTTCCCTGACTTTTACAAAATTCTGACTTTTTCCCCGAATCTAAAACTTTTTTCATAAATTTAATTATTTTATAGAATTTTTAACTGAAAATTCTTCTTCGAAAAGGATTATTTTATAAAATTTATAAAAAAAATAGTTTAAAAATTCAATTATTGAAAGAAAGAAAAAAGAAAGAAATTCAATTATTACTAAAATTTCAGTTTGAATCTTTTTAAAATTCAATTTTATTACTAAAATTTCAATTTGAAATCATTTCGCAATTTAATTATTTATAAAATTTCGATTCGCAAACTTTTGAAATTCAATTATTTTTATTAAATTTTGCTTGAAAAACTTGAAATTCAATTCATTCTAAAACCTCAATTTGAAAATGTTTAAAATTCAATTATTTATTTAATTTCGTTAGAAAACATTTTTAAATTCAATTATTTATAAGATTTCAATTCGAAACCTTCTGAAATTCAATTATTACTGAAATTTCAATTTGAGTCTTTTTGAAATTCAATTATTTATAAAATTTCAACTTGAAATTCAATTAATTCTAAAACCTCAATTTGAAAATGTTTAAAATTCAATTATTTATTTAATTTCGTTAGAAAACATTTTTAAATTCAATTATTTATAAGATTTCAATTCGAAACCTTCTGAAATTCAATTATTACTGAAATTTCAATTTGAGTCTTTTTTAAATTCCATTATTTATAAAATATCTATTTAAAACCATTTGAAATTCAATTATAACTGAAATTTCAATTTGAATGTTTTAGAAATTCAATTATTTATAAAATTTTAATTTAAACCCATTTGAAATTTAATTATTTCTAAAATTTCAATTTGAATCCTTTTGTAATTCAATTATTACTGAAATTTCAATTATTTATAAATTTTCAATGTAAAACAATCTGTAATTCAATTATTACTAAAATTTCAATTCGAATCCTTCTGAAATTCAATTATTTATGAAATTTTAATTAGAAACCTTCTGAAACTCAATTACTTTTAATATTTTAATTTGATATCTTTTGAAACTCTATTGTTTATAAAATTTCAATTTGAAACTTTTTGGAATTCAATTATTTATAAAATTTTAATTTAAAACTTTTTGAAATTCAATTTTTATTTTAAAAAATTAGTGTTTTAATAATTTTAATTTATTTCTTTTTAAGATAATTGAATTTTAGAAAGTTATGATAAAATATTTCAAAAAATTAGTTTTTTTTTTAAATTCAAAAGTAATTTTTTAGAAAATAATTATTATTTTATTTCTCAATAGAATTTAAAAAAAAAAATTAAACTATCAATTTTTTGAAGAATTTTTCAATTATTTGATTGAATTTTAATTTTAATTAATTATTTTGAAAATAGTTGTTTTCTACAAAATTGTTACTAATAATTCTGAAAAATTGGATGTCAAAATAATATTTTAGTTTGCTTTATTCTGAAAATAATTGAATTTAATTGGAAATATGAAATTGAAAATTTTAAAAGTAATTCAATTTTTGTAAATATGTAACTGAAAATATTGAAGGTAATTGAATTTTTGAAAATAAATAATTGAAAATATTAAAAGTATAATTGAAGTAAAATTGTAAAAAAATTTTACATTTTAAGAATTACTTTTTTTTAAAAGAATATTTTTAAATTAATTGTTTCGAATGTGATTTTCATTAATTTTCATTTGAGAATTTTTTATTTAAATTGCAGAAGAGAGTTTACTTATTTTCCAAATTTTGCAATTCTCTTCAGAATTTGATTTTTAAAAAATTTTAATGAAATGTTTAAAAAAGTGAATTATTTTTAATAAAATTTTATAAAATTTCAATTATTTAAAAACTGTTTAGTGTTTTACTATATATTTCAAAAATCTAATTAGATCTAAAATAAAATAAAATAATTTATTTATAGAGAAATTTTTACAGCGATTCCAGAAATATTTGACATTTTTCCAATATACACTTTCGATAAAATGTCCTGCGACTTTTCCTGACAAATTTATTTTTCCCCGACTTTTTCCCATGACCTGCGTGTCCTGGCAACCCTGCGATCAATTTCGTAACTTTTTTTTCCTTATATTATATATATTCTTCTTTTCTTAAAAAAGAGATTTTCCTCTTTTTCTTTGCTTTCTTTTTTTGCTCCGGAATCGACATTCGACAGATAAATCAAGTTTGATCGGAAGTTGCTTATGTGAAACGGGGCACAGAGCATTTTTCTTCTCCCAGGTACTATAGGATAATACACAAGGATTAAAGATGTCGAAATATCTGTGTGCCATTTTTAAAGACGTGAAGGAAAAATTCCACTATATCAAGGCCAGTATACTTTTGGCGAAGACTCGAATTTCCTCCTCGATGTGTGACCCCCTTTTTCTTCTACAATCTATTTATTCACATTTTCTTCTTAAATATATATCTATATGTTTTTTCCTATACTGTATATATATATACAACTCTATATAAATCGATAACAACTGCAGTAAAAAAAAGAAAAAGAAAAAAAAAAAAAGGAAACAGTTGACAAACAAGAGAAATGAAATTTCTAAATAACAAAGTATTTGCCAATCATTCTCGAAAGCTGTTATTGTTGCAAAAATTTTTTTAATTAAAACTCTTGTGATTGGTTTGTGAGTGTTTGCTTACTTTTTAAAAAATATAATATCGGTACATTCCGAATTATAAGATAATGTTATTTTTATAAGTTTTTTTTTAATATTTAATATTAATATTTAATAAGCTAAAGAATTTTTTTTTTTTTTTTTTTTTTTTTTTTTAATATTTAATAATAGGGGCTGTGTTAATTTGCGACACAATTCAACAGTATACGGGACAACTGCATATAGCATTAAACTGCAAAGAAAATTTTAAAAATTAAACAATAAAATTTAATTTAAAATCTGTTCTAAACTCAACACGAGAAAATTGCTCAAGATTTCAAATGAAAGAAATTTTTCATTTTAATCGAGGCTTTTTATCACGATTTTAATACCATATTCGTAAGCAGCGAACCTCAAATGAATCCAAACAGTTTTTAATTTTTATCCGCCATTTTGGATCCGCCATTTTGAATTTTTTAAATCTGATGACAGAGTAACAAGTTTCATGTGACTTAGTTTAATTACTCCTAAGAACATATACATTTAAGTTTTTAGCATGATACATTCAAATTCAATTATTTAAATATAAAATTTCAATTTAAATCTTTTTCAAATACGATTATTCATAAAATATCAATTTAAAACTTTTTGAAATACAATTATTTATAAAATTTCAATTTAAAACTTTTTGAAATACAATTATTTATAAAATTTCAATTTAAAACTTTTTGAAATACAATTATTTATAAAATTTCAATTTAAAACTTTTTGAAATACAATTATAAAATTTATAAAATTTCAATTTAAAACATTTTGAAATTCAATTATTAATAAAATATCAATTTTAATCTTTTTAAAATTCAATTATTTATTGAAAAAATTAAAGCTATGAAAAAATGTGAGTCAATTATTTATAAAATTCAAATTTAAAGCCTTTTGAAATTCAATTATTAATAAAATTTCAATTTGAATCCATCTGAGATTCAATTATTTATAAAATTTCTATTTAAAACTTTTTGAAATTTAAGTATATTAGTAAAAATTTTAATTTGAATTCTTTTGAAATTCAATTATTTATAAAATTTAGATTTTAAACGTTTTCAATTTCAATTATTTATAAAATTTCTGTTTAAAACCTTTTAAAATTCAATTATTAGTAAAATTTCGATTTGAAAACTATTGAAATTCAATTATTTATTAAATTAATTTCGTTTGGTAAACTTTTGAATTTTTTTATTATTTATTAAATTTCAATTTGAAAATATTTGAATTCAATTATTTATATAAAATTTCAATTTTAATGTTTTTGGAATTCAATTATTTATAAAATTTCAATTTAAAACCTTCTGAAATTCAATTATTACTAAAATTTTCAATTCGAATCCTTTTGAAATTCAATTATTATTTATAAAATTTTTATTTGAAAATATGTTTAAAATTCAATTATTTATAAAATTTCGATTTGAAACATTTTTAATTTCAATTATTTATAAAATTTCAATCCCAATCCTTTTAAAATCCAATTATTATATAAAAAAATGTTATTCGAAAATGTTCAAAATTCAATTATTTATAATATTTAGATTTGAAATCTTTTAAATTTCAATTAATTAGAAAATTTCAATTCGAATCCTTTTGAAATTCAATTATTATTTATAAAATTTCTATTTGCAAATGTTTGAAATTCAATTATTATTTATTAAACTTCAATTTGGAAATTTTTGAATTCTATTATTTATACAAAATTTCAATTTAAAAGTTTTTGGAATTCAAATATTTATAAAATTGA